TCCCAAAACTCCATCGATCCGCGGATCTTGTTTCATTCAGCAGCGTCTTCGTCGATCCGACCTCCGACGACGCCTCTTCCCCTGGCTCAATCTTCACTTGAGCATCTTCTTGGGACTCACGGTGAAATCCCGAGTCACCAAAAGATCCGGGCACGCGCACCATTGTGGTGTAGCGGGATCAGCAAAATCTGCGAGATTGCCAGATCCAACTTACCAACTGCGCCCAGACACCGACTAACGGAGGGGGTCCCCCGATGATCCGTGTTCTGCTGAACTTTCCTCACCTTGTGTACCCGTCGGTAGGGCGGGATCTGCTCTCTCGGTAACTTCCGAAGAGTTCAAGTGGTGAAGCTTGAGTGTCTTGGCGAGACGTGGGGATGGGGTGGAGCAGCAGTGGAAAATCTTCACTCTGCGTCCGTGGATGGTTCCGTATCCTAAGCGAATATTCGAGCTTATGGATCCGGGGCCTAGATCGTGGATCTAGCCGTAGGGTTGCCTTGCGGGTGTGTTCCCTTGCCTTTGTGTTGTCCTTTAAGTCGTACTTGCCGCCTCCTGTGACGGGATCTTGAGAGTTGAGAACCTCTAGGGTGTAACCGACCAAGTAGTAAATTCGGTTAACCTGTCGGATCTGCACGAGTAAAGGAAAAGCTCACTAGGTTGTAGGATCTGGCCAATGTATTATCCAGTTATCACTACCAACACTAGATTCGCAATTCCCAACCTTCTCGGAGCTCGTACGGCCAATGTAGTTCCGGTTCTTGAGGGCAGGAAGGCACTTGCGTGATACTGTGCAAATTGAGGACTGTATTGATATTTAAGCCTATACCTGCCTGGGTTTCTACCTTCTATGTCTTTCATCTGCTAAATCCCTTACCAGGCTCGGCTGCATGTCCCTTCTTCCCTTGACCCATCATCCCAGCTGTGTTATCTTCAGATCCACCGGATATATGACGTAATCATCATGGTCACCCTATTATGGGTACACTCATCCGGATCCAGGTCGCTTGGATCCACCTCACTGTAATGGTACACTCGCCGTGGATCCGAGCTCTCCAATCATCCAACATCATCTCGCAACCGTCTGTGATCTCCGTTGTCCCACGAAAGTTCGAGATCCACTGTATCCCTCATCCCTATACCCTGGATCCAGGTCCCTCAAGGCGGGATCCTCCCTCCTTGGATACGAACTCAGGAGTATGGGATCCGGGGTACCTCGCGGTGGATCTTGACTCTTCATTAGCCGTGGCTACTAGATCCACCGTCAGAGGGCACCGACCATCCTTCCTTCATAGGACCCACACTCGATCCACTCTTGTATAGTATATCCCATATCCATCTTAGTGAATCCAGGTAAGGGTGGATCCGAGGTAAGTCTTGGTGGATCTTGCCTTCTCGTACATCGCTCATATCAGATCCATCGTCATTCCATACGGGGTGCTGCTCGCCATGGCTAATCCACCACAGGCAACTTGCACCCGTGCCAAACAACCCAAATCCTCTATAATCACTTGAAATTGTCACTGATTCGGGATAGTGACCCCGCGTCAGGACCATTCTCTTATTTCTGAGAAAGCACTTCACCACATACGCGTCGAGGACAAGTTAAAATTAGAGGTCGTTTGGGTTTGTGTGAGTCTTCCACCTTCATCCTTTTCGCTGTACGGCGTCATGCTTGCAGGCGAGACGCCGTAACCCGAGTCGGCTAAAACGTGATGGCCGCGAGGCAAAAGTGTGTCGATGTTTCTTCCGAACCAAGAATACTGGAAAATCTTGGTGTCGCTCCAAGATCCATGACGGATGTCAAAAGATATAAACCGCTCCTTATGGTCTCAAACTGCTTGTACATTGACTGAAGGATAGCCTGCAGCTTAAATGGTTAGTTAAAAAAAACTGGAATGAGAAAGTGCTTCACTTACCTTTTCGATTGTACCAGCCCTCAAAGTCACGAGGTCTGTTGATCGCAATCAAAGTTCCATCCATGGCACCGCAGCAAAAAGGGAAACCACGCACTTGGCTAAATCCTTCTACGACATCTTCCCAAGCTTTTGAGTTTTGTGGTAGAGCGATGCACGTAGATCTCATGGCTGCTAATACGCGAACAATCGAGTTATCAATACACCATGCTTTTGAGACACCAAACGCCTGTGCCGTTTTCCTATAGCCTCCACTCAAACCTAAGTGAAATAATGTACACGCCAAAGCCCTTTCAAAACTATACTTTTTGAACGGCTTTGTCGGATAATGGACTTGAAGCATGCTGAGAAGCTTCTGAAATGTTGCCTGCGAGCAGTGCAAGTGACGGCAAAACCACGCATCATAACACTGGTCGTCAAGCATAGTTTCAAAGGCAACAGCAGCCTCAAAAGTGAATACGTTGACAGGTACATTACTCTGCAGCATAATTCCACGCACAAATGCTACGCTTGTGGCCACGGTCTTGGCAGCAAGAGCAACAAAACAGGGCGGCGTAGGCATCGTCAAGCGGTGACTGAAAACTGCACTCAGTGGACAGCAGCCAGGCTGGAAGTCCGGGTACTCGACGGTTTGTCGAGTTTTCAAAACGTCTCGATTAAGCTTATTTAACCCTACCCCTTTGCTTTTGGTCCAATTATCGACCAGTACTCACCTACGCCTAACGGCAAAACCAGACCGAGAACCAGCACCAGCCAGCCCGACCAGAGTGCCAACACACCACACCAACCTTGCCGTCACTCTCACAATAACTGTGTCCGGGACAATTATTGTCCATTGATTAGTAATTCATAAGCTAGTCGAACGGTAACGACATATAATTGATGGATAAAGGTGATTACGTAATTTTTGAAAACCAATATATATTCTCATCGTAACAAAATTATATTATTAAATTTCTAAATGAATTATATTTTGTTTACTTTTGATATAATTTAGATATTTAATAATATCATTTTGCAACGATAACATTATATATATCGATAACATTTAAATATTTTGCTATCAAAACAAAATGATACTATTAAATATCTGCTTAATTTAATTTATATAATATAAAGCTGATATTTAATGAGTATCAGGTGTTCTACAGTGTGGGTCAGGACCCGAGTCAATATCACACTGTTGACCTAACCGTAATATCTACTTTTAGCATAAAATCTACAGTCTGTGCCGCCAACACTTCGAAATGGCTAGGCAGACAGGGTTATCATTCCGTTCGTACGCTGTGCAAGCTTCTAATATCGCCGCAGCTGCTGATGTACTTCAGGCAGCTCATGACAGCGTTGTGGCTAACGAAATGGAGGAAAGCGAGCGCTCAACTATTCAGACTACACTAGATTCTCGGCCAGTCAACACAAAGAAAAAATACGAAAGCTACCAAAAGGAATACGTGGATTGATGTGTTGCTCGTAGTTTCCGTGATCGCGACACTGTGACTGGTAGCAAGCTACATTTATTTCTCTCAAGCCAAGTTATTGGAAGGAAGTCAAAGAGATATAGTGAAAAAGTTGCCGGTGGATCGACTGTATGTGGTTATGTTAATGCACTAGTGGATTTATACAATCAACAGATCAGCCTTCGCACCAACTCGAACCCTCATCCACGAACAAATGCGGTGAAGCAGCTAATAAAAAAGGTGCAGGCTCAGGCAACTCAAACTAGAAAGAAGAACTACGAGGACAGAGGTGTAGGCTCCCTGCTAGATGGCTACTCTTCGGATCAACAATTTGAGCAAATTTGTGATTGTTTTCTCTCACTAGATGATCTACGAGGTCGAGCTGCGTTTTTACTTTCACATTTTGGTCTATTACGTGGAGAAAATGTGCGCGATTTGGAATTCGCAGACATGTTCTCTCAGGAGCTTGATGGAGAGGGTTTTCAACCATGCACAGCACTTGTGTTGTTAATCCAGCACGGGAAAACAAACACGTTGGAAAAATGCAGCATGTCGGCTACATGGGAAACAAAAATGTACACGTGTGTCCCGTCGGCGCTGCCGCTCTGTATTTTTTGAGGAATTTCATGTCCGCCAAGAACATTTTCCGTCGTTTCAATATGCGAAAGACTGGTACGATATTAAGTTCCTCCGAGGTCGGACCCGTACCAAATCTATCACATAAGAAACCCACAAAAAAGCTATGAAATTGTATTTGATCATCTGGAACTTTCCTTCAGTAAAACGACCCACATAAATCGACAACAAGGCGTCCGGCGACTTTAAAGCGCTGATGTCGATATTTCCCAAACGCGAAGACATGGGAGGTGGGGGATGGACACGTGTGAAGCCGTGTATGCAGCTCCACTTGCCAGGGAAGCCATGCGGGCATTGTCAGGTCACCCGGCTCGCCCTCGCTTGTTCTATCTGGACCGCGCATCAGTTGACCCTCCCCCAGAATTATAGCAACTTGTTTTTCGTGGGGAGGAACATTGTCAAAATCAAATCTCAGAATGTAAATGGGAAAAGAACCTAGCCGCTCGTGGATTTCTAGAACTGTTACAGTAGCTCAGAATATTGTTTCTTCAAGATTGCGCCTTTCTCTTTGATTTACTTCCTGATCATATCCGTAAGCATGGCCTATTTGATGAGAAGTTCCAGGAATTTCAAATCGCTGCATTTGCAGGAGCTGCAAGTGCTCCAAACCCGGTGGAAAAACAACTTCAAGTCGCGATGCCATTGCTCTCTGATCTCCTCACTACACAACATGCAGAAGTAACGAGTAATTCAGCCGCTCATTACAGTGAAATGGTGACATTATTGGCGAAACCCAACAAATAACATCACCTCTTTATTAGGGGGTGAAGTGACATTTCGCCTTTTTCGCTCGTTATGCCAGTAGCGGCAGCTAGTGGAAGCAGTACTACAGCTGATGGTGACTCGGTCAGCGTACCTACAGCAAACGAAAGTTCAACTTTTTCAGTGGTTTTAATGAAACGCGGTCTTCCAATAACATACATCAGCATTCAATGAGTAGAGGGATCAACTCTGTGTGTGAGCTTTGAACGGAGTGGCACGAAGGACTGACCAATCAGCCCTCAATCGAGTACCTAGAAGCCACGTACGGCAGAAAATGGCGACTGTCAGCAAAGGAGTCCAAGCTTCTCTCTAGACGCCTCTGCATCATCAAATATGACGTGCACTAGTGTAGCGCGGGTTATCAGTTGATTGGCCTCTAAACAAAGCTGATAATGAGCGTGGCAAAAAGAGCATCGATGCTTTTTCCAAATATCTGAACAGCAAGAACACATACTAGATATTAGATGCTGAATACACACCATTTAGCTTCTATTCTCAACTGCACATATACTTGTCTTCAATAACCAGCATACCTGAGCTTTACGCGTCCATATAGCGTCAATCTAGTGCAAGGTGTCGGTGTCAATGACCAATTAGGCGCGACCTCATTCGCCATAGACGTCGTGGTGTCCGCTCTGTGAGACTGGAGACACTAACGCCGTGCCATGTTGTCGTAGTCGCTCTGGATACAGCTTTCCAGACGGGTCGGCTGCGTGGTGACACCACCAGTGGTCTACTGGTCCACTGCCAGAGGAGGAAGGGAGACGAAGAACAGTGTAGACTTGGTAGATAGTGTCTGAATGTTGGACTGTGACGACCAATTATAATGCCGCTTTTGGGTCAGGCCCTTTTTCTGATATCTAACAGGTAACAGTTACCTTAACTCTATTATTTTCTGGTATCAGGTCACAAGGTCACGACCTACTCGTGACTTTTTTTTTCTTTTTACTTAATAATATCATTTCGTTAAAGAAGAAAATATTAGGTGATATTTTTTTGGACAGTAATACTGCCCATGTTCAACGTGTTTTGCGACCTTCTTACGTCAACCTACAAACTACTGCCCTTCTACAATACTTAGGTCTGATTACACCTAAGTCTGATGACACCTAACTCTGATGACGTACTGACGCACAAACGCACACACCTCGGTTGGTCATCTTGACGTCCTGTTCCTTGGCTCGCTTTTTAGTACATTTCCGGTCGCGCGAAATCGTCTGAACCATCGACCTAGACTGCGCTGAGAAATACCTAGAACACTAGCCACTGTCTCTGCTTGGATTGAGTATACGTACATAAGCACGATGGCTCTCCAGCGCATGTCGATTGAGTAGGTCATTCTAAACTGCTCTGTGGAGTACTTAGTATCGAATGGCTGGGAAATTTATAGCCATTCGAGACTTTTCCCAGCTTGAGACTAGTTTCTTGGGTCCTTTCAAGGGATCGACTGTAATGGGCCCCTCCATTACATAAATAGATAGATTTCTTTACATAAGTAGGTGCATCAGCACACGACTAGCGTGTGCTGAAATGCTGTCATACCATTGCTGATATATGGGGAGCCAGACCCATTATTAGCCAATTGGACTATGACGTGTATTTGAGTGGCCAGGGCTGTGGCCTTGGTCCTAAAATAAAGTCAGAGTTGATTTTTCCTTAAACCTAAGACTCAGTCGTCCTATTGCGAGCTTCCTCAACACTATAGTGTAAGCAAGTAACGGAGTAAATACCTGGCCCGTTACACCTGGTAGCACTTCGTAGTCCTTCCAACGACCAAGTTCGACATGAGCCAAGACCTCGACCACGCTGCCGTTCTCCATCTCACACGGATCGAGTGGCAAGCTCTCCACCGCCTCGCGGCGGTGTCCGGAGAAGCCGTCGTCACGTCGCTGCTGCGCTCAGCGACGCCCGACGAGCAGCGCGTTGCGGCACAAGAGTTCATGGAACGCGAGCTCGCCGATGCGAATCGGCGAGTGTCAACTCCCTCGCGTATATCCACGAATGACGTCGTGAAGCTAGAGAAGTTCACCTACTCCGGTGCTGGAGAAGATCGACTTCCGCTGAATCGCTGGTTTCGAGAGATCGACATCGCCATCGCCTCGAGGTTGATCGAGGCGCCTTCCGCGAAGGTCCATTTCCTCCTCTCGCGGTTGTCTGGGAAAGCCAAGGAATGGGCTCTCGTCAAGTTGGTTGTCGATCCCAACGTCTTCCCCACTCTGGATACCCTCCAGATTGACCTTCGGCTCGCGTTCGAACCATCCGCAAAATGAAATCCGAATTCGGGCAGACTTCTTCGCCCTTCGGCAAGGCACGATGACTATGCGCGACTACGTCCAGAAGACACGACACCTCGCGTCGTGCATCGTGTCTAAGCCGATCGATATGGCCTCCCAAGTTCATGTATTCGTGTTCGGTATGCGCGAAGGCATGACGCGCTACTGCCTTACAAGATCGGACCCCTCTACGCTCGAAGAGGCATTCGCCCTCGCCCTACGCGAGGACTACGTGGTTGCGGCGTCATACGCTCACGCGCTACCTGCTTCAGCTCGGGATTCTGCGCCCAAGCCCATGGACATCGACGCTATCGATGCGACGAGCAATCGTCAGCGTCATGCAGCGCGTTGGAGCGGTGCTCGGAACAATCGTTCTCTCACCTGCTTCCGCTGTCAGAAGGTCGGTCATCGCGCGGCGGAGTGCCGCGCGCCAGCTCCAGTGCTTGCGCAAGTCGATGCCGAGCCCGTGAGTTCTGACCAGCCAAAAAACGGTCAGGGTCAGTAGGTGCGGGATGCCCTACTGGCTGGAATGGAGGTCCGGGTCCCCCGGTGGCAACCCAACCTCCTAGCCCTCCTGTGCTGCATGCACACTTTCATGCCACCACCACGCCGAGCAATTCAAGATTGATCTTTGTCAGTCTTCATGTCGCCGGTGCCCGGCGATCACTGCGAGCGCTCCTTGATTCAGGAGCGACCGACAACTTCTTCCGCGCGTCGTGCTTGTCGGTACTCCCGTCGGACATCACTGTCCGCAAAGGTAGAGGGGAGGTCGCTGTCAAGTTGGCTGATGGGAAATCACGCCGCGTCGCGCGGCGCGAGATTACACTTCCGTACACGTTCGACGGTTTCCGAAGCAACGACGACTTCTCATCATTAAGATGAATTACGCGTTTGACTGCATCATGGGTATGCCGTGGCTGACGCGCTATCAACCAGAGATTGACTGGTTGGCCCGGTCGGTCAAGCGCCGCAGTGATTATGATGTGAGCGAGGTGTTCACGCACCTCCTGGTCGCCCCAGAAGGATTGGCCTCACGTCACCGTCGTGGACCGGTCATCCACGACGCACGTTGTGCACAGAGTGAGCGATGGCCCTCTCTGCACGGCTTGCGCAGTGCTGTTAACTGACGAGTCCCCGCGGCGACGCGGGGATGAAGACCAACTGGCGGTCGAGCAGGGGCTCCCGCAGACGAACAAGATGGCGGTCGAGCAGGGGCTCCCGCAGACGAATGAGATGGCGGTCGAGCAGGGGCTCCCGCAGACGAATGAGATGGCGGTCGAGCAGGGGCTCCCGCAGACGAACGAGATGGCGGTCGAGCAGGGGCTCCCGTCAATTGAGCCGGTGATCGAGCAGCTGGCGCTCCCGCTGAACACTACCGCGGTCGAGCAGGGGTTCCCGCTTAAAGGGGGTGACATCTCGTCCAGCGAGAGCGACTCATCATCCTCAAGTTCGCACTCGAGGCGGCGAAAGAGGAAGTCGAAGCGGCGTCGGCTGAAACCTCGCCGAGAGCCCGTACCAAGTGACAGCTCACCGACGGAGTCGGTCTGCGTGCTTGAGTAACCCATAAACGACAGTTGAGCTGAGGTGGAAGTCCAGTTACAATTTCCATTTAATCTATGGCCAATTTGAAAAGAACTTTGTATTATTAGCAATAATATAAGAGACACGATCACGATCATTGCAAATACAGCCGTGCTCATCTTTTTTCGATTCAGTAGACACTCTTCTCGCCAGTTAGAATCTATCCTACGTACTGTAGTCTTGAATGCACCTACGCGACAGTGGCATGAAGTGCTAGATCATGCGGTATCAACATGTATGACAAGCGGTGAGAATTTTCTGCAGCATGACGCCTTGTGAGCGTGCACTCACCCGCACAATAACAGCACCACTGTAGTCAAGACCACAGCAGACGCGTGCTTGTCTTCCTGACAGACGCGACGTGATGAGCCACCTACAAATAAAAACAGCTCAGCGTTAGCCATCATCATGCATGAATTTAGTGCAGCAACAAACAAACCGCCAGCATGCGCCTCGTTGTCACTCATACACTCTCCAATTCAGGGTCCCAGGGTACCTCCGCACGCTCCTCTGCGCGCTCCGTCTGCTGTTCGAGTGTGTGCGCCGCCTGCTACGTACACCGCGTTAGTTATATTGTAAATCAAGCTTCTCCAGGAAGAGAGAGAGAGAGAGAGAGAGAGAGAGAGAGAGAGAGAGAGAGAGAGAGAGAGAGAGAGAGAGAGAGAGAGAGAGAGAGAGAGAGAGAGAGAGAGAGAGAGAGAGAGAGAGAGAGAGAGGGGGGGCTACCTGCAGCTCCTATCGGCAAATGAAGCGACTGGACTCCAGGAGGAATGTTGAGTTGTAATGTAGCCCACATTGTTAATTTAGCGTTTTGGCTTCCTTCAATTTACCGATCTCTTGTTAAGACCCCAAAGCCCGAATAAGAAGTCCGATTGGGAGGAAAAAATAGCAGAAACACACAATAGTACCTTTTAAGATGCAAGGTAAAGTGACGGAATCTCTTATGAGCTCTTATCCCGCCAGGTGAATGTTGACTCAGTCGGTCTAAAACAATATTCGCGCAACACCACTATTTACACACTCGTGCAACTCCATTAAGCGAGACATCATTGCTTTTCAAAGTTCGTATGAGCAAAGCACCTACCACTCTAACATCGAGCTACATCATACAAATATAGCACACCCACAAAAACGTTCAATTTGACATGTAACGTAGCATGTATTGTGTCTTTCAACTCTTTTGGCAAAACGGGCAACAAAAACTCACCTCCAAGTGCAGAGGTTAGGTTTACTCATCTGTTTTAGTAGGGAGTCGACCAGCAACTTATCCTGATACTTCTTAGATAAAAACTATTTTATCCAATTAAATCAGGGTTTGCGCAGTATATCAGCTAATCACGTCTAAACCGTCGATGTAACGGGCCAGGTATTTACTCCGTTACTTGCTTACACTATAGTGTTGAGGAAGCTCGCAATAGGACGACTGAGTCTTAGGTTTAAGGAAAAATCAACTCTGACTTTATTTTAGGACCAAGGCCACAGCCCTGGCCACTCAAATACACGTCATAGTCCAATTGGCTAATAATGGGTCTGGCTCCCTATATATCAGCCAATGGTATGACAGCATTTCAGCACACGCTAGTCGTGTGCTGATGCACCTACTTATGTAAAGAAATCTACCTACTTATGTAATGGAGGGGCCCATTACATTACCCCCCTCTTAAAGTTGCACTTACGCAAAATAAGCACTGATGAAGAACATTGGAGAAGACTGCTGGAACGGCGGATATAGCGGCGACACTCACGACATCAAGCCACTGGCGTATCAACAAGAGACACCACGTTCGGCAGCAAGCGTGCAGAGTGAGAAGCCATCTCAGACAACAGCTTGGAGGCCACCAGCGCTGGCGCTGGTGTCGACACACGTGGGCTTCAAGGAGTCAGGTGAGGTTCTGATGGAGTGGAGCTTGGACCTTTGGAGTTGCCCTGAGGCGCATCAAGATATTTGCGACGTCGTGTCCGAGCGGGTAATGGAGCATGCTCACGCGCAGTACGCGTGAGTTCGATTCCCACGGAGATCAAACTCCGCGATAAGCGCACGAGCAAGTGTTTTTGCAAGGAAACGCTGGCACGATGATCACCACAGGCGCAAAGAATGAGCGCCGACTGGAGACTTCCTTGTGCTTGGGGATACGCTCATCGTGGAACGTCCACGATGTTCTAGCAGACACGAGGATCACGAAGACAGCGCACGAGGTACTTGAGACCGCGAATACGGGGACGACAACCACTTCACTCAGCTGACTGAGCGACGATGTGCGACTGCACAGCGTACGGAGAAGTATCCTGTAGACCCAGGCGACTGCGACGTCGGAATATAGGTGACCTGCAAGCTGGGATTTTACTCGTCGTCGTGGAACCTCGCGTCACTC